CTGAGGGCACTTACGTGACACGTGGGTTCCTATTCATGTTCACCTCATTGACGGGTGGGTTGTGGCGCAGGTGAGACTTTGGTGGTGTAGTGTTGAGCCTCAATCCAACTTCGTCTTCGCAACTGCGTTTACGCTCAAGTCTCTTCTAGGCGGATGCATACTACAAATTGGCTGAGGTTACAATTGCACCTCCATTGCCTTGGGGGAGGAGGGAGAGATGGAGTAGGTGGAGGGTGGAGGGTGGAGGGAGAGGGAGAGGGAAAGGGAGAGGGATGGAGGAAATGCAGGGAGGAGATAAATGAGAAGTGGAGAGGCAGGGAGGGAGGGAGGGGGGAAGTTTTGTCATCGACATCACTATCAATCAACATTTGAATCGCGCTCTTCCTGATACGTTTTGCCACATAGGCACTTGGCGCTATCATTACTGCTGTTGACGCACTTTTCATCCTTCCTCCTACCCCTCCGCCCTAAAATGGTCCTTTACACGGCGCGAATCTTTGACCTCACCCTATGACATGCAAATTGGATTGCTTGTTCTTAGTGTTCTTAGTGTAGTGTAGAATTTCTTTACAAGCTGTAACTTCCCTTTGATTTCACATATAAATATATATTTTTCTACTTGCCACGGTGACCACGGAGGATCATTTTACATGTCTTACGTGTAGCAGTAATAGCTGCGATCATTTGCTATGGCAAATCAGACGTTCATTTTGCCTATTGCCAACGTAGTCAATGTCTTCCGAACGTTGTCTTTGTTAAGTGACGTCATTCGCCACTGCATGCCTCACCCTATGTAGTGGCGGATGTTTTACTTTTGCACGCGACCACAACCATGGCAACCGGACATGATGAGGTGGTTTCTGTCTCTCATATTTCCCCTTGACACTGCCAGAACATCATTAGTAGGTTGTCGTTAAGGTTCAAATCTGGCTCCCTGAATCAAGGGCCATACTTAAACAGTTTGAAGAACTTGCTGACATAAATGGGATAAACAAGTTTTTTAAGGTTGTATTTTGCTCCAATTCATTAGCGATTTTTTGTTTGCCATGAGCTGTAGAACTTTGCCTTTCTTGACAATGTTGTCATCTTAGCTCCGAGAAATCCTCCTGAAGGCCTTAGGGGACCACTATATCTGCAAAAATTATCGGCAGGCGTTACAAATAAATTGTTCGAACTACTGACAGGGTTTCCCAATGGCTCGTCACCGAAGTGGAGAGTTAAACGGGGTCTTGCATAGTCTCTCACGTATTGTGAACGTTGTCCCATTTACGCTCCTTAGTCAGCTTCCCACGTCAGCCTTTACGATGTAATTGGTGCTGCCAACCAACACCCACTAGCCGACTGCGTCAGGCATCATATTTCTGCCCAACTAAGGCTTTATTCGATTGCAGCATCGCTGATTCCTCTTGGCATTTCTACATTATGTAGAGTTTTTATTGTATTCGCGTATTGTTTTGGGGGGACAGGGGAATGTGGTGCCCACCGCGGTCTGCCATCACTAGTCTTGGCACCACTGATTGCATAACAGAGGCCAATTCGAGATGGGGATGTTGGTTTGCGTGCTCATCCTCATTCATTCACTAGACTGCAAGTGCTCCATATCCAAGTTGGTTGGGAGAAAGCACTTCCCCACTTTGTCCTCGAATGGCTTTGCATGAAGTGTCTGCTCGTTCGCCTCCATTGATTGTGCACTTCATGCTGAGAGTGAGATGGGCGAACTTGACTTCATTCCCCTCTCCCCTCGCCCAATCGACGTGGATTGTAGGCAGGTGGGTGGAGGGTGGAGAGGCGGTGTGGCGCGAGTTCACTCAATTGATGTCTCTCTGTGCAGGCGGGGTGGTGAGGGGGTGGCGACGAGGGGGTGTGTAGGTGGGTTGCAGTCATGCCTTCACATGTTAATGGCTGTGCTGCGGACCTTTGGGCAGGTCAGTCGTCGAGGTTGGAAGCCCCTTTTGGTTGTTTCGCGGACGTTGCCACTGCCTTCATTCTCATTGTGTATGCTCCTCCTCCCTCCCTCAAGGGCATATCAGGGAGAGGTGGAAACGAAGGTGATCATCGTGTGTGTGGGTATGTGGTGCGGTGAGACTGCCTCGGTGACAGGATGCTTGGGTTAGAGCATGGTTTGGCTGAGAAACTGGCTCACATGATGAAACTCCAAGTGGTCCATTACGAAAACCAAAAATTTCTAGTCTATTAAGCAATTATGACAACTATTTTTTTTAACCACTTTTTTTTCTAGAGTTGAAAGCATTTAGCTTATTTCAAAGCACTGTTGTTAGTGCTTTTGTTTCTAGATTTAATAAATTGTACTGGCGACTTCATTTCCAATTCCTAACTTATAGTTTTACCAAATTGTAATTCGTGTTCATGTGACATCCGTCGTATTTGTTTACGATACCACAGATGCACTTAATCCGGCATGTCACCTGTTTTTTTTTCCTGCTTTGTCCAACTAGAATTAAAGCCGAGTGTTCTGTTTGTTCTTGCCTGCATCTCATTTGAACGGAAGGCTTGATGTGCCCCCTCACGGTTGGTTGGTTGGTTTGTTCTCTCAATGAGCTATTGCCTATTGTGGTATTCAAATGCTCTCATTTCCATTTCCTTTAATGCACGTGTTCCTCTCGACCAAGGCACTCATTTAGTCTTCAAAGGAATTGCCATTGAGGAGCTGCGAGTTCACTTTCGCCCGACAGTTTTGAGGGTAAGGACTGCTAGCGCGGTCTTCTTTCAAATCCTGCTTGTACAAACTCTACGTTCTCTTCTTCTCCCTCCTTCCCCGTCTGCAGAATGGAGGATGTATCTCGCCTTACACCTTGTACACATGCCTGTACACCATTGGTGTATACTGTGGGACTATGTCCGAGTGTGCCAACTCCATCCATTGACATTGGGGAGTTGACATTTGCACTGCGACCGATTAGTCATTCCACCCCATTCCATCACTTCCGTCGTCGTTGTGAGGCTTCGGTATTGGTGCATCCAGCATGCCTTGCTGTCGGACACAACGATATGAAATTCCTACTGGCCTGTTGGGAGCCTAAATAACCTTCTACACTTTTTGTTTCTACTTTTAGAGTTTAAAGTGAATCTCAACGTTACTTTCCCTTTTATGTGGGAGGCATTGTCGTTAACTCCAGTCCCCACTCCCATTGTTACACGATTCGCCAGTTATTTTTAACTCAAATAAGTTACAATGAGACATTTCTACCATTCTTGTTGCACATCTCTCATCACTAAACACCGTAGTTTTTGGACGAAATTGTGCTTCGAGTATCCATGGTCATCTTCGAGGTGGTTGTGTTCCCTCCTTGCCTCTCATAGCGCAGCTCTTTTGACTCATACTTTAGGCTACTACTTCTAACAGGCACTCTCAAGTCTACTGGCACCTGCAGTTGTGTTGGAGGCGCTCTCTTAACCATTTGGCTGCATTGCTGCATGAGAAGAAATAGTGTTGCCATTTAATGGAGCTCATGGCTTATTAAATTTCTGAAGCCATAGGTCGGGTTGTAAATTGAATGTGTTGGTAATTACGTTAGTGGCTTGTTACCCACTGTGGGGCTATTCAAGGAGGTAAATTTGATTTCGTTAACCGTACCATCTCTATCACCTTTGAAGTAGTTTCATCATTACGCACACAGCAGGGGTCTGGAAGACTGAAAAGGCTTTCTCACTTTTTCTCCACTAACTCTTATTCAGGCATCTCTGGAAAAGTAGTCTCCACTCACCACCATCTTGGATCATCATTGTGATTTAGGAGATCTCGTAAAACCACCGCCCCATTGCACTTGTCAACACGCTACGAGGCTATCAGCAGTGGTGGCGACGACATTGGCGGTAGCGATAGCCAAGGTTTCTCCGGTGCTGCAGGATCTGCACATCGCAATCGACATCAGCAGTCTCATAATCATCATTGTCGACATCGAGTAATTCCGTCGGGATTTAAGCGCCGACGACCATCCTCTGCCTCATCGTCACCATCAGTATCGGTGCATAAGGCCCGTAGGCGACGACTGAGTACTTCCTCCTCCTCATCCTCCTCCTCCACCACCGCCGCTACCACTACCTCTTCTTCCTTCTCTAGAAGCGGTGCTGTGAACGTCTCACCTGAAATAGTGAGTACTTTTCCATTCTTTTGTTTTCTTATGTCCTTTCGTATTTCTCAGACAATTCTCTCGACTCCACTATATCTCATAGTTTTATTTTTTCCCTTTTTTCCCGCATTCATTTCATTACATTTTATAGTTCTTCTCTCTTGCTACATTTTAATATTTGTTTTTCTGCATGTGGAGTGATGGGAGGGAGTAAAACTGATCCCCAAACCTTTGCTTAATCAATCGAACCATCATAAATGTCAAGGAGCGTTTAAATGCGTACTTTTCAAGGGTTACATAAAATATTACGAAATAGCTTCAAGCCTAAATGGCGTGCCTCCTTTTAGCTTCAAAGCACTATTCCTTTGTTTCGCTAGCCTTTGCGGACAAGTGATGCACAGAGACATGCGGGACGGCAAGAAGCGACAATATGTAGCTTTTCTCTTACCTACTACTGAGGTGAGCAGAGCATTTCGCATTTCCATTCGCCAGTGTTCGTCAAAAAAGTTGGTTTTAGATTAATTAGTCCTACCTATTAAGAATGAACAGGACATAACAATCAAACTCTAACCAATTTTAGCTTCCAAATACTATACATTTGCGAATTTCAGTTGCAAAGGCGAAGACTTCCTGCAGCCTACGCATCGCCTAGACATCGGTTGCGTGTGTCATCGGCGTCAAAGTCGTCGTTCTCGTCGCCGTCATTGACGGTAGACTCGCCCAATTCATGCTCCCGGCGACATCGGCGTAATCGGAGGTTACCACCGCCAACAACATCACCACATTTGCCACGAGGAATTGCTGCGCAGTCGATACGAGGATCTTCACAGGGAGCTTCGCCATCCTCTACATTATCGTCTTCATCCTCTTCGTTGTCGGTATCTTCAGCCTCACAAATGTCTGCCAGTACGTCAATCCTTCAACGGCGGGACTCACAGAGTCTGAGGCGCCTACGGTAGGCTGAATGGTTTGTTTTAAAACGGAGTTTGGTCAGTTACTTTCCTTGAATAGGAAAGTATTTCGTTGCTACATCTGATAAGGTTGTGCGTTTTCCGCCATACTTGTCAGGTCCATATTTAAAACAATTATTTAAAAAGTTTTAGTTTATGCAACGTACTATTTAAAAGTGTTTGCCAGCCACACAGTAATACCTTTAGAAATCGGTAACATGAAAAATGGAGCGTCTGTGCTCTTCTGGAAATAGTGGTAATGATTAAAGGCTGTGCGACTTTGGAAGAAGAGGATCCAGAAACAAGCAATCCAATTTGCATGTCATAGGATGAGGTCAAAGATTCGCGCCGTGTAAAGGACCATTTTAGGGCGGAGGGGTAGGAGGAAGGATGAAAAGTGCGTCAACAGCAGTAATGATAGCGCCAAGTGCCTATGTGGCAAAACGTATCAGGAAGAGCGCGATTCAAATGTTGATTGATGGTGGTGACGATGACAAAACTCCCTCCCTCCCTCCCTCCCTGCCTCTCCACTTCTCATTTATCTCCCCCTGCATTTCCTCTCTCCCACTCCCTCCACCCTCCACCTACTCCATCTCTCGCTCCTCCCCCAAGGCAATGGAGGTGCAATTGTAACCTCAACCAATTTGTCGTATGCATCCGCCTAGAAGAGACTTGAGCGTAAACGCAGTTGCGAAGACGAAGTTGGATTGAGGCTCAACACTACACCACCAAAGTCTCACCTGCG